GTTATCTCAGGGATTAAGGGCTTGCTGTCTTTGACCATCCTCTCTTCGCCTGGTCACACAGATATAAACAAACACTCTGAAGACCTCCACAAAACACAGGCACGCAAGCACACACTCGCCCACACATGTGTTTAGAGGGGAGGAGTTACCCAGTGGAGTTTGGAGGGAATGGACTGATTTTAGATAGGGATTTGGGGGATCTAGTTTATTTTTATTTTGTTTTTTTCTGTTTTGCTCCTTCGGCTCTAAAATCTCAAAATAGCTGTTGTGTGTTAAAGTGCAGACAGTGTTGTTTAAGAGAAAAGAAGACAAATAGTTACATCCTCTTTAAAGCTGCATTTTTCAGGGCAGAACTACTGAAGCACAATGTATTCATCAAGTTAAAGAGACCATTTGAAGAACTATTTTTTATGAGAAAGGATGTCATGATTACAACATCCTGTTCCAGTAATTATGAGACAAAAGAGTCAATATCAATCATCACTATTTGACAAGAAACAGGTTTTATGGCGCTACCTGATTTAATGGTTTACCTTGTATATATTTAAAACAAATGCTTAGTTTATTTGGAAAATGTAACATTGAAATTTGTCTCTTGCGTGAAAAGCTGTTTACTTACTTACCAAAGTGCCCAATTTTTTTGCCTATATTTGTTTATTTTTTGGAAAATTAGGTACGCTGATTTACCTATTAACAGTTCCTTTTTGCTATGTACCAAAGGATGTACAGACAATTTTCACTAAATTACTTTGATACCTAAGAAGTCTTAAAAATGTGATGAGTCTCAGGCAAGTACTGAAGAGGTCCAATTCCTTCCCCAGTGCAGTTGCACTGTGGGAATAGTCTACTGTACAGTACCTAGTAATTATGAGATTATTATTTGATACCTGGATCTCATGAATTAGGCTACTAGATTTCATTCTGCTTATTATGGAATGGTAAGTCAGAAAAATTTAAACAAATCCCAAATGTTTCTTTTGTGAATGCAATGCACTTCCGTAGCAGAACAACACGACCATAAGCTAACACACAGCCCACATTACATTATCACCTTTTTCATTTTATTTTAGTTTACCAGCTGTAAACTGGTTTGAATTTATGGGCCTTAAAACCAAAACGATAAACTAAAAGAGGTTAAAAAGAGCTATGATAATTAATCCAAGGTTAATTAGTAATCATTTTACAAAAAGTGATTTAACTTATTGTAATATAAAAAAAAATTGTGATAAGTGCAGCTTTAAAAAAAATAAGGATAACCTACATTCCCACATATTGAATCAGAGTGATACCATGAAGATCAATGTTTCACAATGGAATGAAGAAGAACCCTTACTGAGTACGATTTTAACACCACCAATCCGTATGGATTACTGTAGCATTAACTGATCAATATTCAGTAAGGAATGCAAGACTGGAAGCTTTTTCACGGACAGGATGTCATGTTTGAGCCGCATGCAGAGTGTGAATCTGTGTATGTGCTCTCTAATGTTGTGCATATGAAGTCTTATCCTGCTTTAAACTTATCCCTCTATGAATGATTATAATGCCGTGCAGGATTCTTATCGCTGTCTTCTTTCTTTGCAATTGTGTTGTCAACTCCTTGACATACTCATGAGTCTCCGTTATATCTGTGCTGACAGCGTCATCAATATGAATTGAAAGAACACAATTTGGTTTATGCCTGCCTGGACACTTGCATTTTAATACTCTCGTACTGCTATGCACTGTCACTCCTGGATTTAATTTCTTCATCTTAAAGCCAGTTACAGAACACAGGAGCAAGCAGTATTCAACATCGTCTTCATTCTTGACTGATAGTGTCAGACTTTCACTTTTACCATGTACTACATTATTTTATAATCATATTGTTTGGTGGTTTTGAGTACTTTGGTGGGTTTTTAAATGTCTGTGTGGACAGATTTTGTCACCATGATGACATCACAGCCGTGCAATCATGAAATTTTGCAGGTGTGTCGCTGAGATCAAGATTAAGCTCGAGTTCAAAGATGGGTGTGGTCTGCAGAATACTCATCTATTAATGTAGTGATAGTGAGTACTTATGGATCGAAACGTCAACATGTTGACGGGCATCACGGCTGGTGTGATCCCATTAAAAGATGGTCTCTAGTTTTTCTTATTGAATCAGTGTTACTCAAGTTGAAAATGTGCATATGCATGTGATGACCCTCCCTGAGCAGGTCTCACACTGCAGGAGCCTGGTGGGTGGAGTTCGGTCATCAGGGAGATTCATCTCACCTGGTGTGGCCTTCACTATATCAGTTGGTGGAAGTCAGTCACACAGTCTTTCCCCTGGCTTCCACCCTGTTTGGTTTTGTTGTATTTTGTTTGTCTTTAGATTAATTTCCTTTTCAGTTGTGCACGACAAACTTATTTTTAGTCATAACTCACGTGTGGTTTTCCCTCCTTTGTCCAGCCTTGAGCCGGTTTATACGGTTTAAGGAAAGCCTTTGAAAATTAAAGAAAAAGAAATCAGTTTGCGTGAGTTTTTGAAGATCTGTGATAAAACTGCTCTGATCAACACTTGGCTGACAGCTGACAGCGCTTCAAAGATCATAGGGACCAATGAAATTCCATTTGTTTTACTTCAGATGCTGAAAGCAGTAATTGACTGGTTCAATCATTGCAACAGCAGTACTGATTGAAGCCTTGTAAGAGGGAATTTTGATTTAAAAAAAAAACACAAAACAAAACAAAAAAAACAGGAACAATAACAAGTCTGTTCCTCCACGACCCATCCAGCCAGCGCATCTGTGCACAGCCAAGTGACAGCTTGACAAAGCTTATGCTCCAGAGTTCTGGTCAGAGGTTTAAGCCATTAAACTGACCTTGCAATGGTTTGTTTCTCTGTGTTACTGTGGTCTGATCTCAAGTTACTCACATTAGTCCATCCAATATGGGGTTTCATTTTGCTGAACTTTTAAAGATGCCAAACAGCAGCAGCCATAACCTTGAGGTTACCGTGAATGCGAGAGGATTAAATTACTCTTAACACAAGGCACTATTAGGAAAGTGGGTATGATTGATATATATATGTATTCATTTGAACCTTTTGGTGAGCAAAATGACGGTAATCATTACCAGTAAGTAACCCATCCAAGTGAAGATGATAGGGAATGAGATAAAACATTAAACCATTTCATCATTTCTCTTTTTTTTTTTTTTTGGAATAATAGCCACGAGGGAACTTCCTGTAATCCTACATATGTTGCTTTTCAGTATAGATATTCCATTTTGCCCCTCTTGCAGGTCTTATTCTTCGTTTCTGTCGGGCACAAATGTGCACATATTCACATGCACGTACACACCGAAGGACGACAAATTAGCTGTCAGTTTTACTAGCCATGTGACCTCAAAAGCAAAGAGAAGGGAGATAATGATCTTAGGCTAAGGACAAGTATACATACATACACACACACACACACACACACAGACCCACACACACACACACACACCTGCACACTGTCCAAGGACTTGAGGCTCTAGACCGACGGATCAAGTGGGACTGGCATGAAGATAGAGAAGGGTAAATGTGATTATCGCATGACAAACCTTAGCTGTCTTAAACTGAATTGATAAATTGTGATGCATGCATAAACTTAAAGTTGCTATGATTAAAATTGTGACACAGAACTGCACATCTTAAATATATATATATATATATATATACCCGCTCTCCCATAAATGAAATGACTGTTTTGTAGGTTAATTTGTCATTCACTGAAGGGAATTACAGCGCAGTCATCTACATAAAGCCAAGTGACATATTACGTATTTATAAACTTGACACATAATGGAATTGCCTTACTTGCTTTCACCTTGTAACCCTGCATAATATACTCTACATGGAGCTGGGCATGGGAAAACAAAGACGATAGACACAGTTGACCCACACAGGATGGTGCCTCTCAAACATACCCAGACTTTCAGTGTAATCATGAATTTGGTCTAAATTATTTTATTATTTTTTTAAGTGAATTTACCTCTATTTTTTATTTTATTTTATCATACACAAATATTGAGTGACAATTGATACCAGCAATTAATTAAATTTAAAATTTCATTGGCTTAACTGTTTGACCAGTCCAGAACATCAGCCTTTAGTAAAGCTTTTATTAAAAGTCCCTTTAGAATCTGTGAGAGCTTGCCAGGTTCCTAGATATGGTGGAATACTCTAAGCTCCTCAGTGACAGGAAGGAAAACGCAAGCTATCTTTGTATCTAGGAAATGAGAAATTACCCAAATCCCTAAATGAAACATTGAGCACTGATACTGTCCAAACACATCTCTCACTGGTAGGGAAAAAAAGGTTTGGCAGACATTGTGTCTCTTAAAAACTATAAAGTGATAGCATGAATTTCTAGGGCAGATTTAATGCATTTCTCTCAAGCCCTATCATCTTACTGTCTCAAAAGAGAATGCCCTCCTCTTATTATAAAATAATCCATAATAACAAGTCCCAAATTGTGCTCAGCCCTCCTGAGACCTCTGACATAAAGAGTTAACCATTTGTGAGTTAGCTACAACAATACTCAGGGAAAAAAGAAAAGAAAAAAAAGCATTGTTCCAGAAACCAGTGATTCCCAGACTTTCAGCAGTTAGCGAGCAGAGCTATTTTGGGCCCTCTCCCTCATGAGCTGATACACTGGCTGTGCTCTGATCCCTTTGTCCATCAGAGAGACAGAACATTTTCAGCCTAATGCAACTGGACCCTCGCTAATGACAGCAAATAGCCCTGTCGGCTAGATGACAGCAGCTGAGAACAATACTTAATGTTGACATCACTTGCTATGGGGATCTATTTCAGTTTTCTTCCTTTTATAGTGTGCTGTTGGAAATTGCTATCTGGTTCCCTTGACAAAGCACATATAAAAGCTTTGGAAGGAGAGACGGCCCTGTGTGCTTGGGAATCCCTTCCGATCCCTTCTGACTTTTGCTTGTTTCTCAGCAAGTACCAGATCACCTCTGAATCCTTTAACAACATGGCACCAAAGAAAATTGAACCAAAGAAACCTGAGCCTAAAAAGCCAGAACCTAAGAAAGATGCTGCCCCAGCTGCTAAGCCAGCCCCACCTCCAGAGCCTCTGCCTCAGCTTCCCAAGGAGCCTGACTTTGACCCCAAGAGTATCACTCTTGAGTTCTCCGCTGACCAGATTGAGGAGTTCAAGGAGGCTTTCACCCTGTTCGACCGCACACCCACCGGAGAAATGAAGATCACCTATGCCCAATGCGGGGATGTGATGCGAGCTCTGGGCCAGAACCCTACCAATGCAGATGTGCTGAAAGTGCTTGGGAAACCACGGCCAGAGGACATGAGCACTAAAATGGTGGATTTCGAGACCTTCTTGCCGATGCTCCAACACATCTCCCGTGCAAAAGATCAAGGCAATTTTGAGGATTTCGTGGAGGGGCTCCGGGTTTTTGACAAGGAAGGCAACGGCACCATCATGGGAGCTGAGCTGCGTCATGTGCTGGCGACATTAGGGGAGAGGATGACGGAAGATGAGGTGGACAGGCTGATGGCGGGACAGGAGGATGCCAATGGGTGCATCAACTATGCCTCCTTTGTAAAGCACATTCTCTCTGGGTGAATGGGTCATTTTAACTGCAAAGACTTCATCTTACCACTGTTTTCTCCACTTTTCTGGATCCTTGTTAAACATTTGTCCATTTAACGGTGAGCATGTCACTGAGTTGGTGACATTTAGCAGAAGTTAATGTTCTACGAAGAACTGTTGACCACAAGACTTGTGGTTAGTTCTTTTTTTTTTTTTTTTTTTAAATAAACACACTGAAATATAATGAAATGCCCGTGAGATAATGTGGACATCCATGAGGAGAAAATCCATTAATAAAGGATATATGATTACAAATTGCCTCACAAATGTCATTTCAGCATACCCTACATTTAAATTTGAAGAGAAAATGATGACATGCAGGACTGCTGATAAAAAGTGCTCATTTTAAGTCTATTAACTTTTCACATCAACTGTGTTAATGTGATTAGGACAAAGTATTGTTGGGACAGAGGAGAAAAACACACAAATAGGATTTGGTTCCATCTGAAAATAGAACAGATTTGATTCTATTCTACTTTACACAAAGAGTGTTTGAATGAGCGTGCTTGTCATTGTGCTTGAGGGGCAGCTGCTGTGGATCAAGATATACTCCCACATTCTGGACAAATACACACACATGCGCGCACACATCCAGTTCTCTTTGACAACTACAAGACAGGTGCTCCAAGGACAGGCCTCTTCATCTCTATTGCAGTCGCTGACAGAACGATTTGTGCTGGAAGCAAACATTTTCTTCCACTATTGTCATATACAGGGAAGTGTATAAGTAAAAGTTTAAGTCTTCAGATTTCAATTATTTATTTATTTAGTGAAGAAAAGTGTGCTGCACTTTGTACATCTGTATGAGAGTTTGCTCATCTTGATATTAAATGTTTATCACTTTAGCTTATCAGCACATTCCTTCACGTCTCATTACTTCTAACAACATTGGATTGTAGTACTCTATAGGGAAAAAGACCCCGATTTAGATTGCTACATCTTCAGCTTCCTTCAAAAGCCAATTGTGCGCTTTAACTCGCCATCATTTTTGCACTGAGTAGGTAGCATGCATTCGTCTTGTGTGAGTTCATGTAATGGAAACGGCGGGTCGTGATTTATATAAGGGGTTTGTGAGAGCTATTGGAACTCAACCTCATGGACTGGTGAACTGAAAGCCGGTTGAAAGCCAAAAAAAAAAAAAAAAGCTACAGAGTGGGGTTTTCATTCACAGTGGAGTTGGCAGCGCTGGGAACCCGTTCACATCACGAGGAATCATTCATGTCGAAACAGGATTTTTAAAAGCAACTGGGTACGGCAACTTGAGTTTCACAATTCAAAAATAAAAGACACAACATAGCCTACCTATAATACATGAAATTCATTATGATTTTATTCAGACCTTTCTGATGCAACACTGTATCATTCGATACAACTCAGTGATGCAACTGCTCTATTTCATGTCTACCATGAATATAGAGGTGAATATCAAGTTCAGTTGTAGGAGTGGTCCAACCAGGAGGACTCTGTCTACATTTCTATTGCTTTAACTTTCCCTTTGGAATCACATGTTTTATTATAAAACAGAAATTTTGAAATTAAGAATTTCTCAAGACAAAGGACACAATAGGGATGAAACTTTGTTTGATTTTCAATAATATATACCTTTCAAGGCCAAGTATATAAACCTAACATGGGTAAACAAGGGGCAACTTAAGGCTGACTTATTGTATGTATTATATTGTAAGCTCCTAGTTATGGCTGCAGTTTTAGATATAACCAGGTGTGTGCATTCCTGTATTAAAACCCTCCACATGTGCACTTTTAAGCACCTTCTTTATAATTTCAGAAACCTCTCCCCTCAGGGTGGACAAGATGTCTGCTTTAGTTTCTAATTTCATTTTGATATGTGGTTGGTGAAATTACCTTTTACTCTTTATCGAGTAAGTCATAATAAAATGATCAATATTCTATATATACAATGTATACAATAAGCGTATGTTATCACTTCACTTTCACTCACTTCACACTGATTTCCATATAGTACCATGCGCATAAAACTGCTGCAGTAAATTTCACCCCAAGCTGTTGTGCTGGTTACAGCTAATGGGAATCAAATAAATATAAATATAAAAAAGAATTTACTGATTTCGCAATATACTATGCAGCAAGTACAGGAAGTATTAAAGTGCAGTCACTGAAGTTAGCTAAGCTTATGTTGGTTGTAAACTTTGTTTTTTTGCCACTTTTAAAGCCTCAGTTTTGCATAGTGATATGTAAATAATGATGTAAAGGTGAGTTGTTAAGATTATAGTAATCCTATGAGGATAAGTCCCAAAAATTAAAGTTTACTATGACCCACTTTTACAGTTATTTAGCAATTTAGTTTGAATGTGTACTTTCGATACACTGTGCTTTGAGGCTATTTCCGGCTGACTGTAGAAGGAGTAAAGATGCAGCTAAATAGGCAGAAGTGGCACTTACTCTGTGCAGCTGTCAAGTACATGCAAAGGAGGTTCTAAGTGCAGTGGGCATCGAGCTTCATACCCGGTTGAGAGCCAGCCAGTAATTTAGACCCATCGTGATTAATCAGCAGCTGTTAGCTTTAAAGTCCTTTGTCAAATATGTGGGCCTTTTGGCGGAGAGGATCCAACAGCTTGTGTACATATGTTTTCTTTTCGTTTTGCAAAAATGTTCTGTACAAAAGGTGGACACAACATGTTAAATATTTATTGAGTGTGTCAGAGAGGTGATGCCTCTACTGTAATTTTCGTAGCTGTGGTTTCTGCCGTTGTTTTAGAGCGCATTATATTAAAATGTCAGCTATACAAACTGTTCTCTGCATGGCTCTAGCAGCCCAGGTGGCAGCATAAAACACCCACAGTACACACACACTCAAGAAATATCAAGTGGCGGTATTTTGTCTCATTTAAAGTGGCAATTTGTGAGATCCTCATATTTTGCCAAAGGCAACATGCGGCGTTTGGTGCCAAGCATTTATTGCTATAGCGATCTTGCACTGCATCTTATTTTTGGCAGTCAACCTGTGTAATGAGTACTGAGTTGTCTCTTACCTTGCATTTTAATTTTTTGAACTGGTGCTGTCATATTTGTTTTTCTTCCACCAGAAATGCATCACATTCCATTGCCAGAGAGGATTTTTTTTTTTTTTTATGTGTATGATAACAGCAAATCTAAACCTTTAACTTCTATTAAAAATATCAAATAGTGAAATACATATCTCTTTATACTTATCTTTTTTTCTGCAATACTTTTGGGATAGGCAAAATTTCGGCAAAGATTTCTAATGTCCAGTTTAACACTGTTTAGCCAAGCAGTTAAAAAGTACCAGAGAGTAATGACAAAGATAAATGGCAACCTTGATTATGAAAGGACCGGGAGTCAAATAAGGTGCGCCAAGGTCAAGATCAGCCTGCATCATTCATTGGCAGCCTGTCATTTTTCTCAGGGAGCAACAAATTCACCACTCTCTATTAACAATAGATGAACTCATTTCATTTACTAAGGCGTCTGACTGGTTTTCGAATTACAAGAGCAGGCCTCATCTATGGTGTATAAGGCCAGATATGGTTTGAACAAAAACCCTTTGTATATGATGAAAAGGAGTAATCACCAACATGTAAGCTGCAGACCCTATAAGCTCTTTAACATTGTTCCATACATGATGCGATTGCTAACTCTGCTCACTCTTCATACCAACCACCGGGACTGACTTGTGACATATGCGACATAGGCGGTTGCCAAAGGCACAGAATTTTAAGGGGGCACAGCAGGAATGCCACTAATATAATTTTATTAATCATGATTACAGTAACAATATTATCACAAAAACATCCTTTTAATTACAGTAATAAACATACTGTGCCCCCTGAACTGTCAGTCAGTTGACTGCTGTGCACTGAAAGTGAGGGATCATGCCCAACACCTAGAAGTAACACTGACTAACTGATGGCAAATGTTAGATTGGATCAGCCGGTGGGATGCATCAATTATTATTAGCTCAAATTATTTCAGAATGAAAAGGTCCAAGCCTTCAGGTGCGCAAGGACAAAAACAGACAAAAGAGGAGGAGGCAAACAAAAGCCAAGTGTAGAGGGATGTTCACTTAACATCAAAATGTCTGAGCAGTGCTATGTCCTCAGGGCAGCCAGGCTGCTACAGTGACTCGGTATCGGGAAGTGAAGAGATGGGCTGACCAGGCCAGGGTTAGCTGGTTAGCGTGCTAACTTCGGTAGCAGAAAATAAACGATAGAAATAGAAGCAGAACAAGACCACTGCTGCAGATAGCTCTTGGTAAGTAAAGGAATTAACTTTGATGCTGAACTCGTAACATTTCTCCTAGACTGGTAAGTAAACAGCTGTTATGCTGGTGTTAATGTTAAAACTTACAAATAGCTCCTTTCCACCTGATTGTTGCCTCTGAGATGCATTTGAGTCAGCTGTCATAACTTTCTGTTTACATACTTACATCTCACACTGATGATTTGCAGTGTTTTCTTAGCTGGCAATAAATGAATAACAACATTAACAACATTTTAACACTGCTATGGCGTCACTTGCAAATGACAGCAGTTAGAAAGTATACTGTTAAAAACTTAAAAAAAAAAAAAATAGCAACCCTACTCCTGCATTTAACAAAGTCATGATGCAGATTTCTGAAACTTTGTGTACCATTAACATGGAACTAAACAGTCCATGAATTGCTGATATTGTCATTGTGATGCACAACACCACCAAGCTTGTTAGCGCTAATGACATTAGTGTGCATGTGTCCTGTTGATTGATGACAGTTAAGTAATCACACTGATGCTGTGCTTGAAAGAAATTATATGTAATGCACCATTTCTCCGGTTTAGGCTGATTTTGTCCATAAATTATTGTGGTATTCTCCCCTGAATCTTTTGAGCTCTTAAGACAAAACAATTAGGTGGATTAATCAAACATCCGGTATTCTCCTGGGGCAAGTGCATGCAAAATCAAGGTGTTAAGCACATTAATTAAACATTTTAGAATAA